CGCCCGCGCCGCCGGCCTGCGCCGGCGACCCGGTGCCCGGGGTGGCGGGGCTCCGGAACCACGGCAACACGTGCTTCATGAACGCCACGCTGCAGTGCCTCAGCAACACCGAGCTCTTCGCCGAGTACCTGGCGCTCGGCCAGTACCGCGCCGGCCGGCCCGACCCCGACCCCGACCCCGAGCCCGAGCCCGAGCCCGAGCCGCCCGCCGGCCGCGGCGCCGGCGAGGTCACCGAGCAGCTGGCTCACCTGGTGCGCGCGCTCTGGACGCTGGAGTACACCCCGCAGCACAGCCGCGACTTCAAGGTGGGCCCCGCGGCGACCCCCGCCCCGGCGGGGACCCTGCACCCCTGTCTGGGCGCCCGCTGCCCGCGCCCCGGCCCCTCCGTGCCGCTCGGGCGCTGGGGGCCCCGAGGCTGGGACGCGCGCACTGCCGATGGCAAGGCAGATCGATCCAGTGATGGATCGATCGATCGATTGATTCATTCACCGTGTATTTAAGGCTTTACCGGGCGCGTGCCAGGCGCTGTGATGGGACGGACAGTGGGCAAGACCGTCTGCCTTCGTGGAACTTGATGGGTTCGTGGGGGGTGGGGGGCCCGAATCCTGGTTTTGGCCGCTCCTGGGAGTGTGACCTCGGGCAAGTGACACAACCGCTCCGTGCAGCAGTCCAGTTTTCTCTGGTTTCGGCCCCAGGGTGGTTGTAACAAGGGCTGCCGCCGAGCTGCTGTGTTGAGGTGGGACGCCTTGGTGGCACCCCTGTGTGGCCCGCGTTGACGTGCAGGTTGGCGCGGTGTGGGCCGTGCCTCGGGGGCGCACAGCGCCCTGGGTCCGCCTTCCTGCCCTGGTCCGTCTCATTAGGAAAGGGTTCAGCAAGTTAACAGGTCGCAGTCGCGGTCCCAAGAAGGTAGAACCTGGGGATGCCGCTGCTGAGCTGGCAGGCGGCTTCAAGTGGGGAGGGGGCGGTCAGGGGGACCCCTTGGAGGAGGTGACGCGGGAACTCGAGTCGCCACAGACAGCTGGCCTTGAGGAGGGCAGGGGCCAGGCCTCGCAGGGGTGAGGAAGGGGATGCACTTGAACCGCAGGGCTGCGGAGGGCGGACAGACTGGAAAGGGCCACACAGTAAATATTTTAGGCTTTGCTGCTCAAGATCCAAAATCGAGGCTATTATGTAGGTGCTTATATAACAAGAGAAGACAAAGCTCCACACATTTTTTAGTGGCTAAAAGAAAAACGTAGTAGTTGACTACAATATCTTGTAATACAGGTGTGCCAGTGGGAGGAACGGGCGTCTTTTTGGAGGGGATAACGTTTCGCTTAATTGGAGTTCAGAGTTTGCGTTCCCTGCCATCAAAGCGATGACAAATACTTATTTCTGCAGACCGGTCTGAGCTGGCCCGCCACGTACAAAGACAGGCGGTGGGCTGGATTCGGCCCTGGGGCCCATGGAGTGGGGGGCTGAGGGCTGAGGTCAGGAGGTGCAGGACCATCAGGCTGCGCTCAGGCAACGGCGCTCATTCTGAGCAAAAGGGGGTTGGGGGTGCGAGTGCGAGGGTTACCTTTAGGTGGAAAGTGGGTAGAATTAAATAGAATGAAATGACACAGAAGTTAATTCCTGCTCGTTCTCTTGCTGTCCTGACCTTGCTCAAGAGAAGGTCAGCTTGGTGGCAGCCTGACTTGAACACCCCTTGTTCACTCTGCCACTTCCCCCCTACCACCCCCCACAAACAGAATAAGCTTCAAGTTTAGAGACTTTAGTAGGCAACAGTAGCTAGAATTTAATAAGGTTCTATTTTCATTGGGCTTGTTTTTACATTTGTCTTCTATTTATGGCAGTTGGTACTGGCTTTCCATCCGTGCTGTGAAGTGTCTTTCAAAAACACATTTATTTAAGTCAAAGGAAGTGATTTGATTAAAATATAAATGGTAATCTTTCGGAGGAGTCAGCACTGGGTTGCAGGCCTGCTTTCTTGCTGAGGAACAACGCTGCCTGGGTGCCGCCCTCTCCTTTTAATACATTTTACTTACGTTTTATTATATTTATCCATGGAGTTCTACCCTGTTTTTCTCAAAAAGAAAAAAAAAAAAAGGTTGCTGTTTGATCTTGGAAATTTGCATGGAAATTCTTGACTGGGGTAGGGGCTGGGAAAGACAGATCCATGCCAGAGATCTCAAAATAAGAAAGTAGGGGACCATGGCGGCCAAGCAGCTACTGTAAGCCGTTCTGTTTTTTCTTTCTGCTTCTAGTTGCCTGTAAGTAGCCACAGCAATTACAAACTTTTCAAGGTCAGAGCCCAGTGTCCTTGAAGTTTTGTTTTCTCCTCTTTTGCCAATGTGAAAATCAATTTCTACAGCATTTTGGTCTGTGAACATTGCTACTGCTTTTTAAGAGGTTGTGTCCTTTTATCTGTTAAAAAGCTGGGAACAGAAATGGGTCAATAATTCTAGAAATGCAGACACTGATTTATAGGCATGCTTTGGCAACGTTGAGCAGATTCTTAGAGGCCCCGTTTTTTCCAAAAATGTCATCTTCTGAACCTGTAGCAGAGTTCCCTCTGCATTCATTCATTCGCTTCCCATTGATTGAAGGTTTACTCAACCAGTTAGGAATGGATTCAGCGCAAGAAGGAGGAAGCTCTCACGACGTGCCTGAAGCAGGCAGAGACCTTGAAGTCGCTCACACTGGGAGTCTGGGCATACATGGTTCTGGGTGGTGCAGTGGCTTGACAGGCCCCACAAGGACCTGGACTGTTTCTGTGTTTCCATTCTGTTGTCCTTAGCTGTTATTGGCTTTTCATCCTTCTTGTTTGCCACCTCGTGGCATTCTACCCAGTCCAGGCAGGAGGTCGTTAGGGAGGTGAAAGTTCTTCCAGGAGCCCCCGCGCAGGCTTCTGCTGGCAGCTCGTGGGCTCTGACCATGTTGGTGTCAGTCCTGGCTGCCGTGGTGGCTGGAAGGTGGACATCTGGGTTTTCCTGCCTTGATAGAAGAGGTGAGGAAAGGAGGGGCTTACCTCTTAGGCAGCCCACCAACGGGCCCACCTACCACGTGCCAGGCACTTCCATTTGGGGGAAGACGCTGTACCTGCCTGTGAAGAACCGCGTCTGGTAGAACCTGGTAAGTTCCCCAAGACACTTTCTCAGACTTGAATGTGGACATAACTCACCCGGGCTGCTTCTTACAAAGCAGATTCAGACCTGGCAGAGTTGGGTGGGGCCTGAGATGCTGCGTCTCTAACAAGCTCATAGGTGATGCTGGTGGCTGGTCACGGGGGTGCAGAAAGTTGGGGAGACGTGTTGCAAACGGGTTCCGAAGGGATTTGTAGGCTGTGCTGGTTGGGACTTTATTCGCTGGAAGCTGAGAGTCCAGAGCCAGTATTTAAGCAGGAGAGTGAAAGGATCAGATTTCTTTTTTTTTTCTTCCCCAATTTGGTCAGCCTCCTGGCACGGTAGAAGATTACTTTCCCTTTTTCCCACATGTTTTATTTCAGCCAAGTTCAGTAGGGATGATTCTGAGCATAAAGAAAGGTGAACACCCTGAAGGCTGATACGAGGCACGCTGTCACCACACCCCCTAAGAGCCCTGCTCAGTTTGGGTCCCAAGGCAGCACTGCCGGTTGATTGGAGTTGACAGAGGAGACAAAACCAATTTGCCACCTTGAGAGGGTTTGTCTTGAGGTCTCGAAAAAAACTTAGTATGTCTTTGAATGTGCTTCTATCGTCTTCAAACTTCCTTAAGTTACTAAGGATTTTCTTCGTAAGTTTTCCAGTTAGAATTCTTTCTTGTTTTCTTGTCGCATTGTTTGGAGCTTCAGGAGCTGGCCAGGTAGACTGACTTTTGGTTTTGCTGAGCTAGGAGAATATTAGGATATTATATATCCTTTCCCGGAGTGAACTGGGCTGACTGGCCCGACCTGGGTATGCCTTAAGAAAGCCCTCTAGCTGCCACCTAGACCCTTTCCCTTTTTACACAGCTGTTTCTCTCCTGTTCTTAGAGCACCAGATCTCAGGCAGGGCACCTTTGCCTGCTCCCACCCCCTCACTCTTGGGGATGTTTGGTGATGTCTGGAGACATACTTCGGTTGTGACCCCTTTAATAGGGTGCTGGCATGGGTGCTTTAAGAGATTCTTAAAGATGCTCTCTGGTTCCTAGTACTCTGTGCCCTTTTGTAGTAAGAGAATGACGAATGGTTACCTTTCAAGTAGCAGATAAGTTTTATAGCAGCAGTTTTCAAACCGTGCTCCCAAAGAACAACTAGAACAGCGTGATCTCCTGATGAAAGAGCAGCGGGGCCCCCTTCCAAGTTTGCAGTTGAACAAAAAGTGACTGACGAGTAGAGTTTTCTCTCCCGTGTGGTGGTTGTCTGTTAGTGAGAGCTCTCAGGCTCCAGAGGGAATAAACACGTGTGAATGAGGAGTGGCAGATAAGCTGGCAGCCGGGGCTCACGCTGGCTCAGTGTCACACCTACTTTTTCATGGACTCATGCTGCAGACCTGTGAGAGTTTTCCTGCTTTGGATGAAGCTGTTTCGTACATTGATATTTCGCTGTGGTCCCTGAGAAGCACTCTGAATACAGTGTGTCCGTTGAATTCATTTGAAAAGTAGAAAAAAAAAATGAAATCGTGTAGGTAACATTTCGATTTGTGAGAGAAAGTACGTCTCTTCCTGGTCAGCTGCCTTGTCTGTCAGCCGCTGTCCTCTTTGTCGTAGAGAATTTCCAGATGTCTGAAGGAGAAAGGTGAGGGAATCATCGCATTTGGACTTGGAAGATGTGGGTGACGGGCCGAGGTGCACCTGTTGACGAGAGACTGAGGGAGCAGAGCCCCCCTGTTCTGACTTGCGTCCTGTCGCCCTGCGTTGCTGATGCTCACACCGAGTCCTGTCTGCGGTTGCCTCATTAGTACAACCACTGAGCTGACAGGTCTCAACATAAAACGTAAACAGGCCGGGAGGACGTGCTGAGACGTGTGGCATTTTTCCCTCTAAGATCGCGGTGCTGAACTGCAGTGAGAACAAGGTCAAGCACAGTTGGCTTCCCATGTGCCACTGCTCCTCTGACCTGGGCACTTTGGAAGTCTTCAAAGCAATCCTTTCCGGCCATTCAGATGCGTGTATCGACGTGTACACGTCTGTCTCACGGAGGGGCTCGTACTCTAGGCAGCTCGACCTGCATATGCTCCATCCAGTAACTTGCTCCCTGTCCCTCTCCGGGTACATTTGAAAGCCTACCAGGCTTGTTGGCAGCTCAGAGACCTAGGAGAGGAGGGTAGATGAGGCTGGGAAGGGCCGGGCGGGTGGGCAGAGGCCG